CTTGAGTAATGTCTATGTATAGCTTCTCAGAAGATCACCCTCTTCTAGAATAGGTATCTGAAAACCTGGTCTACTAACAGAGAGGCTTCACTGACTGCTAGAATTTAGGGAGCTCTCACTCTCTTCCCCCTATCCACTGAACCTGGTTGCCTTTGTGATGAAGAATTATGTGTGGTATTCTTGGAGAGGGGACTTTTCAGAGATGGGACTTAAACTTCTTTCTCTTTAGCATTGTCCTATAATGAGAAAATTGCATGCACTCAAAGGAGTTTATATCTGAGTTATAATGAAGTCACAGGAGTGGGTTGATTTGAGTAGGACCCTGGTCTCACGCTCCATCAGTCACAAAGAGAAACAGATATATTAGTCATTAGGGAACTGGATTCCACTGGGCTCAAATCCAGTGACTGTCTTTCCTACAAGCATTAGTTTCTTCATTTTGGCATAGAAAAGGAAAAAAAAATTACTTGTCTAGTAACTGAAATCATATGGGGCTTATCTTTCCCAATGCTATATTACCAGATCTTGTGGAGCTAGGAGTATATATGATGCTCCTACTGTACACAAACCCCCCAGAAACTTAATACTTTTGTCAAGAAAGCAAATAGTTGAGAGACTTCTGGTCTTAAATATTCAAAGGAATGAATTTTTTTAGTTATTTATTTTTAAAAGTCATTTTTTTAAATGGAGATTAGGATGTGGTAGGAGAGACAAAAGTTGCTGGCAGCCTGGTGATGACTGTATGTCGAAGTAGATCCATAGCAATAGTAGATGATATCAGTGGCAATCAATAATTGTCTATTTGTAGAGTCTTCAGCTTTATACAGTCATCCGTATGGACATCTACTCCCAGACTAAGCAGCAGCTCCAAGATGGGGGGGGGCAAACAGAACAGAGTAGCATAGATGTTGGTACTAATAAGTCTTTAGGCCACAGCACAGAGAAGAGGAAATGCTGGGCTGAGCTGTGGAGCGTAGCTGGCAAGTGTTCCTTTGCAAGGCAGATGGTAAAATGGGCCTGTTGCCCATCTCTTAGGAGTGAAAGAGCTATGTCCTGAGCAGAGTCAACACAACCCCCAAGTGCATGGCCAGTCCTTGTCCTGGATAAGCTACCTTCTTAGGAGGGCAAAATCCCGGAACCCTGCTGAAGAAGCAGTGAGTAGAGATCCTGAATCCTCTTCCATAGCTACTGGAAGCCTAACATCCTTCTTCACTGCCTGCAAGGCAGATGAGAGATGTTTGGATGTGATTCCCTGATTTCTCTGTCCACTTAGGCCTGGCCTTCAATTATATATGACCTATGTGTGTACTAGAGCTAGGTATTGCCCTTTGAAAGTTGAGAGTCTTTTCGCTTTTATCCTAGTGGACCAAAGTTGTTTTCAGCCATGTAGGGGAAGCTGAAAGCCTGGTGAGAAAGCAGTATTTCATTGCCCCTTGTTTTTGTTCTTATATTTAGGAGAAAGGCAGGGACAGAGGTTCTAAAATGTGGTGATTAGAAAGGGGTAGGGCATTTGGGGTGGATGCATTTATGGAGGAGCACTGCAGGCTATTAGTGGGCAGGAGCAAAAGTTGCCAGATATCCTTTAGTGTAGTGTGGGAGACAGTCTCGTACAATGAAGAGATGTCCCATCTACCATACCCGTAGAGGGAAACACTCTGAAAGCCACAGGACTTGGCTCTCCCTGAAAGTTCGTGCAGTCATGCACATCTGCTCACTTGGCCTTCAAAGTAGTCTGAGGCTAGGGATGGTCATCCATTGTTGATACAAAACCATCTTCCTGTCCATTCGTCCATCTGTCCCTTCCCACACCCATCCTCTCAGGGTTTCTTTAGTGAAGGGTCTCATAGCCACCTGGGCTCCCATTCTCTCCCCTCAGTGACATCGTCTCCCACTGTCAGCTCCACTAAACTCTCGTTCCTCTCTGAGCTGAGTGACATAATAGGAGTGATGAGTTGTTACACCACCAGAGAGCAGAGAAGGTAAAAGGCATCAAGGCCTTCTGGAAGGAGAGAGAGAAGAGTAAGAAGAGTGAAAAAGATGGTTTATGATGTATGGAGGTATGAGAGTAGGCACCTGCATTGTTAATCCAAGAGAGGTATTTGGTTAGTGCTGATGGAGTCCCACCCACATCTACGTCAGGGCTTCTGGATCTTGAGCGTGCATCAGCATCCCCTGGAGGGTGTGTTCAGACAGAGACTGCCGGGCACCGTCCCCAGAGTTTCTGATTGAGAAAGTCTAGGGTGGGGCCCGGGAATTGGCTTTACTAGCAAGTTCCCAGTGATAGATACTGTGCTGCACGTCTGGGAGCTGTACTCCGCCAGGCCTAGGTCCTAGAGAAGAGAGAAACAGCTGAATCTTCCCCGCCTGGGGGATCAGGCTGAGAGGGGAGGAACTTGCCTTACTCTTGACCTTCAATCACGGCCCAAAAGAAGAAGGAGTCCATTTAAGTCCAGCGCCCCTGGCAGATGAGTGCATTATCAGCCTCACCATCACCCCTGTTGCTGGGATCCACACAGAGGCCAGGGTGTGCAGTATTTTCTGAAACCGTGAGGAGAAAGAACAGAGTAAGCTCTGCATTCGCGTGTCTTTCTGTATAGAAGTAAGTGTATTTAACTGGTGGCTCTTCTTGATGTCTCTTAGCTTTTGCTGTCCTGTGAACCAGGGCGTCAGAGACCATGAACAGCACTTCGTTTTGTTACTAAATAAGAGGCAGTTGTAAGAACACACAACCTGTGAAGGGTTCCCTAAAGGAAGGCATCTGGTTTAAAGCCCAGACCACTGGGGGATGCCTGGGTGGCTCAGTGGTTGAGCTTCTGCCTTTGGCTCAGGTCATCATCCCAGGTTCCCGGGATCGAGTCCCACATCGGGCTCCCTGCATGGAGCCTGCTTCTCCCTCTGCCTGTGTCTCTGCCTCTCTCTCTGTGTCTCTCATGAATAAATAAATAAAATCTTTAAAAGAATAAAATAAAATAAAGCCCAGACCATTGGAAGCCTCCTTTAAAAAAAAAGATTTTATTTATTAATGAGAGACACAGAAAGAGAGAGAGGCAGAGACACAGGCAGAGGGAGAAGCAGGCTCCATGCAGGGAGCCCGATGTGGGACTCGATCCCGGGACTCTGGGATCACGCCCTGGGCCGAAGGCAGGCACTAAACCGCTGAGCCACCCAGGGATCCCCAGGAAGCCTCATTTTTACCCAGAAAGGAACCCAAGTCAGGAATGAGCAGTGTTTCCTTTCTGTATTTTCCTGATTTCCTCTCTCCACTGTCAGTAATCACTAAAGTATTAATGGTATTACTTTTCTTCTTCCTAATGAGTTAACAACAGTGATGCTTTGTTTCAGTCCCTAAGGGAAGGATGGAGATTGAGGAGGATGCCATTGGAAGTGCAAACAGGAATGTGAATGCCACTTGACAGTGTCTCCTCTTCTCGGCACTTCCTGATTTTTCAAGATAATTCTAAGGACGGTTTTTCGTCAAATTTGACCTTATGGCCAAATAACAACATGCTTTCTTCCTCCTTGATGCTTCCTTGGAATCACAAAATGTTATTAGTTTGAGTACTTAGCAGCCGTCAAGGGGTGGCATGATATTTTGGGTTTCATTTTTTATCCAATTTAGAAAGCCCTGTGGCACTAAATAAAAATGTCACCGTGTAAAATGTAAAAGCTTTCTGTCACAAATGTTTTTAAAAATTCATGAAGGTCTGAGGATTTGATTTATCTTATCCTCTTTCTGTGATTTATTCATATTTAATGTTAGTTTCAACATTTGAAGCATGAAGAACTTTTTCAAATTAAAAACTGTGGTGAATCAGTTTTATTTGAGGAAACATTCCACCAGGCCAGTTTTTGAATTATGCAGTTCATTCCTCTCCATGTGTTCGAAGGACAGATATGTTTGGTTTTCCCAGTGGCTGGAATTCTCACTAGGGAAAGCATTCATTGCTGGGTAGCAATGATTTCCCCAGCTACTTGGTTTCAACAGCTATTTCGCTGGTATCAATAGACAGTTTCTTTGGGCCTTAAGCATAATCACACGAATGTGGTGGCAAAAGAGAAGAGTGGGAAGAGACCTCACCTTTGGAACTATCATTTTGTTTGCTGTCTGCTTTTTCGTTTTTGGTACTTTGAGCCTATGAGCCACCTGTGTTTTCAGGAACATCTTTAGTCAGAGACAAGATCAGTCTTTTCGGTGGATGGTCATAAATAATAAATGATAATAGAATTAGCTTTGAATGAAGGAAAGAAAATGAACTCAAACAGACTCATTTTTTTTTTTTTTTTAGTAAATAAACACCTAGGATCTGTGACACTGGCCTCTCTCAAAGCCCTGGAAGGTTAAAAGGCTGGTGAGAGGAGGGCTGCAGGCCCTCCATGTTCCGCCTTTGGGGCAGCTAGAGCTGTCCTTGAGGACGTGGATGTGTTGACTTGTACCCTGCAAGACAAGTTGGATTTTTTTCGGTGGCCAGGAGATACAGTAAGGCACACTTGCTCTGGACACTCAGGCTTCTGCCTCGCTTTCCACCTGCCTGTACACCTGTCCTTCTGGCCCTCCATCCCTTTACCCTTTCCTTCTTTCTGTCTGTTTATTCTTTCCCTCTTACTACCATTCTCCTGCTCTGTAGACACTTGTGAGCACCTCCTCTGGGCCAGCTGCTGTACCCCAACAGATGTAGTCAGCTTCTCATAATGTGAGAGGAAATGTGCCTGTCTAGTCTGCTGAAAATAATCAAACTTTTAATAAGGACATAAGGAAGAATGACAATAAAAGGTACTGAGTGCCTCCAAGGATAAAGCCCTTTCTACCTGGTCCTCCCACTTGGTTGTCACGGAGGGTCTGACCTGTCGAAGAATGGCAACCACTACACGCAGCAGCAAAAACTTAAGTGTGTGGTTTTTAGAAGCAGTCGGGAGCATTTTTTCATCATGAACTTGATTTTATTTCTTTGCTTAATGGAGAGAATCATCTTGTTCAGTAAAATGGTCTCTTTCCTCCCCAGACTATTGGAAAGAAGTTACCTCCAGCTACAACTCCGGAGCCGTCAAAACCAGAAATGGACAGCAGGACAAAGAGTGAGTTACCTTATTTCTCCAGTTTACTCTTGGAAGCCGTTAAGGGTTTTCCAGTCATGGAAATGCCTTTGAAAAATCCTCACATAATCTAAATGGCTGTTTAACTTTTTTATTTTAAATTTCAGGGTAGCTAATGTACAGTGTTCTGTTAGTTTCAGGTGTACAATGTAGTGATTGCACAGTTCTGTACATTACTCAGGGCTTGTCATGGTTAGTGTACTCCTTAACCCCTTTTACCTTAATGGCTTTTAAAAACACATCACAAAAAATACACCCAAATGTGTTTCATGAGGTCCTGCCAGTGGGTGGGCACAAGTTAGGTTCAGAACTCCTGCGGGTTTTCTCCCTTCTGGAACATGGTCCTTTCCTGCCACCTGTATCTTGCCCATGTGCAGAGCCACGGCTTATCTGTGTATACCCAAGCACTTTGCATAGTTCGGGAGGCAGAAAGATTTTAGAGAATGGCAACTCAAACAATTTGGGGACACACAGGCCTTCAAGTCCAGGGCCCTATCTTCTAGCCTGAGACCTCAACCAGCACTCCCAAACCCTGCCTTCCTGCCAGCATCCTCCACCTGTCTCGGCTATTATCTCTTGACATACAGATGTCTTTCTTCCATTGAGCCAGATATGCTCTTCCTGTAATTTTTATCCACAGATTTTAGTATCGGAATCTACATTGGTATTAGCCCATTTTTCTCTTAATAGCTCTTTAAGTATTTGAGGATGGCTGTCTCCCCAAAACCTTCCCAAAGGGCAGTATTCCCTACTTTGGGTCCATTGCCAGTTAAAATACAGGATGTCCAGGTACATTTACATTTCAGATAAACAGTGAATAATTTTTTGGTTGTAAGTAAGTCCCACGCACCATTTGTTGTTTATCTGAAATGCAAATGTACCTGGGCATCCAGAATTTGTAGTTCTTAACCTGGCAAGCCTCCAATTCCTTTTGTTATCCTTCCAGTAACTAGGGCATTCTGGATGTGCTCTGGTCAGAACCAATTACTTAATTCCTTCTAGGTATTTTGTTTTATTGTTGTTGTTTGTTTGTTTTTGTTTTTAGCTTCAGATTTTATTGTGAGGATAATATGGACAGACTACTAATCTAGTTTGGAAAGCCAAAGATTGAGAGAACATAAATCACACAAATATAATTATGTTTAACGTAGGAATAAAGCCTAGCTTTATTCTTTTAATTGCAAAATAATATACCAAGAGTTCGTTTTGCAGGGCAAAATGGGTAGATTTGAGAGCAAATGAGTGATACTGCCTTAGACTTAAGAAAATGAGTTTGTGGGACTTGTCAAGCCAAAAATGGTGGCTTTGAGAAATAAGTTCATGGATGATGCAGATGCAGATGCTAGATCTCTGCCTTAATGTTTAGGGTTCAGATGAAGTCTACATGCCTTCTGTCCATTAATGATATAGTCAGATTCCTGATAATAGGCAGAAAGCCCCCTGGTCTAAATCTCTAACCCCGCAGTTCTTACACTTGAGTGTGCTCCAGCATCACTTGGAAAGCTGGGCCCTACCCTCCACCTTGCTGGGTCCCACCTCCAGAATTGCTGAATCAGTAGGTCTGGGGTGAGGCCTGAAAATTTGCATTTCTAAGGAATTCCCAGGTGGTGCTACTGCTGCTCCTGGTTGAGGACCCACACTTTCAAAACCACTGTTAGGAGCTTATACGTATTCCTAAGGAGAAACTGGCCCTATATTTTTATTCATGCAGGTTATAGACTTATCATGCTAGACCTGCCTTTAGGCACTAAAGAATTTTGAGGAATTAAGCATTAAATCATTTCTTTTTTTTTAATTTTTATTTATTTATGATAGTCACACACAGAGAGAGAGAGAGGCAGAGACATAGGCAGAGGGAGAAGCAGGCTCCATGCACTGGGAGCCCGACGTGGGATTCGATCCCGGGTCTCCAGGATCGCGCCCCGGGCCAAAGGCAGGCGCCAAACCGCTGCGCCACCCAGGGATCCCGCATTAAATCATTTCTGCAAACATTTCTCTTGTTGGACAGTAGCCTGTCCTTCCTCCCATTCACCTGCTTATTCTATAGTTATGGCTATTTAACAAGCTTATAAATGATCACTATTATTAGCAAAGTTGCCTGGATGTCCAGAATTGGGAAGAGGCAGAAGAAGGCAAAGGAGAAGACCCATCAAGCCTCAAAGGTGATTGGAATGTGGTCCCAAGGACAGGCTGTCCTCATGACATGTGAGGTCTTTATCAACCTGACTCGTGTTTACAGAAATAGTAATCTGAGAAACAGAATTTTTTTTTTAACAGAAAGAGTTTCAGTAGAAGTAAAGTTGACATTCTCTGTAGATTGTTCACCTCTGTCCAGAGGAAATAGGACCTTGGGTGACTTGTGGGTTGCTTTTGGGAGGGGCCTGAGCAGTAGGGGCCTGAGGGTCACTTGTAGGGGATGTGGCACAAAACAGGACAGTCCATGGGGCATGCTTAAGTGACTAGTCCTCAGGTCTCAAGAACTAGCTGTAGGATAAGAGCATGTCCTTGATGCTTTCTTTTCACCCTCTGTAATGACTGCAGACAGGATATTCGAGTCTTCTTGGAAAGATTCGGTGGGCTGGGGGAGGTGGGTAACTGTGTCTTAGAGCAGTGCTGGCTAATAGAAATATTATGTGAGCCACATACATGATTTCACATTTTCTAGTAGCCACATTTTTGAAAAAGAAACGTGAACTTATTAATTTAAATATATTTTATTTAACTCAATATATCCCCAATATTATCTTTTCAACATATAACCTGTATAAAACAATTGAGTGAGGTGTTTTTATTCTTTATTTTATATGAGTCCTCACAATCCAGCATGGATTTTATACGCATGGCACATCCAGCTTGGTGCAGCCACATTTCAAATGCTCAGTAGCCACTTGTGCCTAGTGCCCACCATATTGGACAGTGTAGTTTGAGAGTAATTCTGGGATCCAAGATGGGCTTCCTGGGCCTAGGTATTAACACAGATCCGAATATTCAGCTCCTTCAAGCCTGTGGGAGGATCCTGGCTCTAGCCCAAGCCTGTTCCATCCTACAAGTATCTATTAATTACGTCCATCCACCTGGCTCCCTGGAAGCATCACAGTGGGGGCGTGGGTTTTAATAAAGTGTGTTTTTACAGAGGCTGGCTGGTGTGTTTTGGCCAGGAGTCAGCAGTGCGGATTCTAGGACCAGCTGTGTTATTCGCTAGCTGTGTGACCTTGGGCCAATAATTTTATTTCTCTGGCCTTGCTCTTCATTGTCTGCGTTGTCTATGAAGTCAGAGGGCTGTACTAGAGAGAACTCTTGAGGCTTCTCCAGCACCTTCATCCTCTGATTCAATTCCAAAAGCTTTACAATTCAGAGTAAAAGGTTTCTGCATTCAAAGAAGTGAGCAGCCATACGGGAGAAGCAAGAGGAAAATGGGAACAATTCAGTTGGAATATGAGATGTCACCGGGTACAGGTGGAAGGATGCGTGTAGGTGGGTAGCAGGTCAGAAGAATTCTCACTGTCAGTGAAGGCTTGAAGGATGTTTATCGACAGATGTTTTTCAAGGACCCAGAGCAAGAATTTCTGCAGTTAATCTCACCCACGTACTTCCTGGCTTTCATTGTAACGAGCAAATTCTGGGGTATTTGTTCTCCCTTGATTTCCACGAGGCACCTAAGTCTACTAAAGTCTCCTGCATTGGGAACAATTTGCTGCTTCAAATTTTGATGCAACTGCCATGTTCAAGTGGAAGGACATAGAGTGCTGACCAACTATTAGAAATGACCCTGAGCTTGGAAACAGGGCAGCCTCCTTCCTTCTGGTTAGCAGACAGATCTCTAATAGAAACTGCTCAGGAGTTCAGAGGACAGAGACCTCGTCGTCACATCTCTGTCCTCGGCAGCCTAAAGGAGTAAGCGTTGTGGTGGTTCAAAAAATGTTCATGTGGATTGGTATTTTCTGAGGGCAAGTAACTCAGCTGATCGGGATTTATTTAAACAACTAACATCATCTCCCCTCCCCCAGTAAACCTTTTATGATATTGAAACTCATCTGAAACACATGCTGGGGAACAGATTGCCATGATTTTCATAACAAGAGGGAAACTGTCTAAATATTCATAAGTGAAGTACCCTGAGATTCCTCCAGCTACCACATCTGGAATTTCCCTGTTTCTTACTACAATTGATGCAGATTTGTGGCCTCTGTGGGATAGAAAAACAGCCCAGAGAAATGGCTACTTAGCATCTTTCTGAACAAACAGTTCAATCTCAGAGATTCGGAGGACCAGTTGAGTAGGAGGGTTAGGAAACAGATAATCCTGGATAACATTTGAACAAAGGCAGGTCAGACTTCAGAGTAAATGATGACCATGGGGCAGAGGTTAAACTTGAACCCCCCCCCACCCGCCTGACCTCCCCTCACTCCATTCCTGGGCGCTTGTACCACCTTTCTGGTCAGTTTGTTCATTGCCTCATGTCTTGGGGGTTGTCCTCTATGGTGTGACACATGGTGCCTTGTAGCTGTCATTAGTTCCTCAAGGCAAGGGCTATGTCTTCTACTCGATACGCCCATACAGCACAGAAAAGTGCCATGGACTCCCTGGTCACATAGCAAGTGATGATGGGGCACATGAATTAAAAATGACTTAAAATTCAACCAGGCTCCATATTGGACAGAGTCTTGTAAAAGTGGCACAGTAGCCATGGATCCCCTTTCTCGAGTTCACAGTCACCAGTTGGAAAAAAGACACATTTGTATGTATAGGATCCTCGAGCTTATATTGGGTTTCTGAGGGATTAGTGGTGGTTGCCAGTGTTCCATGGGGCTTCACAGACCCTCCGTTCTTTCTAGTCCATGCTCTAGACTGGTCAGCCCAAGAGCACTAAGAAAGACCCTTGTCCGACAAAGGTTTATTGGCTCATTGCACTGAGGAGCCTGCATAGCACCAAACACGAGAGTAGTTACCAGTTTGGAGGAGGAAAAATGCAGTGGAATGGA